ATGTACTAAAGTGCTGGACACAGATCACATATGTACAGATTGTGATGAGTTGTATGAGCACTTAATAAAATGATTATTTAAAATAAAAAAATCTAATGAAAACAGGGCTCGACAAACTAGATTGTTAACAATGAAACCCGCTATCCATGATTCTTCACTCTTGGATCACAGGCAAACGATGACCCACACTTTTATGTACACTTTCAGGGCATTGAAAAATTTGCTTAGGACTCTTCATAGATAACTCCCCTGCATGTTCAAAAACTATCTATTGATACAAATTATGTATGAATTGTTATAAGAGCTGTAAGAACCCCCAATAAAATAATCTTTTAATAAATTTTTTTTAAAATCTATGGCAGTTTAGTTAATGTAAGGCAAAAACCTTTTAGAATCAGGGACTGAAACCAATTCCTAATTTTGCTACTTATTATTGTTTTCTAAAACACAAAATCGCTGCCATCAATTCGATGTTGACCCACAGCGGCCCTTTAGGACAGTGTAGAACTGGCCCTGTGAGTTTCCAAGACTATAAGTATTTAAAGACGTAGAAAGCCTGTCTCCCCAGAGCAACTGGTGGTTTCAAACTGTTGACCTTTGGTTAACAGCCCAATACATAACCACAAGGGCTCCTTTTGTAGGCACCATCAAGTTAGTTCCCACTCCTAGCAGTACAAAGCATTGCCCACTTCTGTGCCATCTTCACAATCATTAGGTTTGAGCTCATTGTCCCAGCCACTGTGTCAATCACTCTTACTAAGGGTCTTCCTCTACTTTAAGGCTCTGCCGCTCTACTTTTCCAAATATGATGTCCCCTTCCAGGGACTGGTCTCCTGATAACATGTCCAAAATATGTGTGACAAAGTAATTACTGGCGGTCTAACCATAGTATATTATCAAACTTATCTGGTCATTAGTTTCCTTACCTATGAAATAAGAATTAAACTGTCATATACCCCCTCATACTATGAAAATGAAAAGCTATTACACAAGTAACTTTGTAAAATGCTATACCAACATTGTTTTATAATGTATTCATCATAAGAAAAATAATCACCCTTATTACAGGGCCTTGAAAATATATCTTCTGTGTCTAAGAGAAAAACTTTTTAATATCTTTCCTAAAAGTCATCGAATCTCTAAACTGGACACAGAATATAAATACTTATGTTTCAGTGGTATAATGTTACAGCTATGCTTACAACTTTTCCTGAAGGGGCAGCGATGTGTAACCCCAGAAAGTAGTGATTCCTGGAGAACGACCCCGAGTTTACCATAGCCCAGGTAGGCAGCATGTATCCAAATAAGAGACTGGAAGCATGCTCAAAGATTCCTTTGAAAAACCATTAGCGTTCACTGAGCAATTACTCTGGGTTAAACACTGTGCTCCAGGCTTACATACACAAATTCCCCAGGCTGAAGTACCTTCAAGATAGGGACAATGTTCACTTGGCACAGAATAATGAACAGCACACAGTAGATATTCCATAAATATGCTACATAGATAAATACAAACATTATTACCCTTACTTTAAAAATAAGAAATGGAAGCTCAGAGAGATGAAGTCACTTGCCTGACCTATAAATAGTAATGCTGGAACTCATACCTGTTTGTTTTTGAAGTTCTACAATACCATGCTCTTTCCTTTAAACCCTCTAGCTTTATTAGAGGTAAGAGTTCCTATTATGCAGAGTGAAATAAACAAAGTGCTTTATTGCAGAAACCAAAGTCAAGTCCAAATATTTTCTAATAACAGAGCACATGGAACACAGGTGGGTGGCTGACGGGGGTACAGTTTCCACCAGAAACCAAGAAAGCAGACAAGAAGATTGGACCAAAAGATCCCAATCAATTAACCTGGAAGAACCCATACTTAGTTTCTGGAGAGTAGGAATTTCACCATTACAATGTTGAGGTAGTATAGTTTATTGTGCCAACCTGGCCGATAAACACCTGTGGGGTTAATTGAAGGGCAGAGCGATAAATGACTCGGTGAGCCTCGCCTTTCTAGTTCTCAGGTCTCTTGCT